TAATAGTTTTACTTTGAGCGAAAACATTTTTGAATTGTGGTTTGTGTCGAATCTGTTTAGGATCGATTCCGGATCGAATATAAGAATAACTATTGTAGGAGCCATTGCAAACATTTTCCGGTGTAACACTGGCAACGCGGCAGATTGCACGACCTTGCGCGTCATCGTTGCCAGTCAATGTGGTGATGACCTTCGCTTCAGACGACTTCTATCTCTTATACAGGGTCTCCCAGAAGTCGACGTCAAGCCGAAACCGGGTGATAGGCAAAGTCATAACAGCTATCAGAAAAATATTTAAAAAAAAATTATGTATGTGTTTTGAAAATTATAGGTCTTTGAAAAAAATATAGAAATTTCACACCCTACGGCAGTCTGTCAACTCCTGTTACTACAAATATTAACTTTTTTTGGATTTTATTTTTACAATGTAATGATGAATAATGCATCTTCAAACTGGTGTCTCAACCTTACTGCCAACTTTTCTCGTTCAGGAAAAATTGCCACTTATTTCCCAACCAAGTATTCCAAAGTAAAACTTTGCTCAACTTTAACTGGCTGTACTGGAAAAAATGTACTACGAGAGTTAGGCAAGTAACCTTAAAAGTTGGCGCATTTAATAACGATTCCAAAATGTTATAACACTTAGAAGATTACTCGTTAACTTATGCACAATTTTTATTTGAAAAAAACTGATGAAAATTTTTCAAAATTTCCTAATTAAACAGCGATTATGAAAACGCACAAGGACCCTTAAGGATAACTGTTTGCACAACAGTGGGCGTCAAAATGCTGCTGATGATGATTTACCTTTACAGCAAATGCTCAAACTGTTTTCCTTCAGCCGCAATACACGCTCGACATCTTAAAAAAGATCGGGTTATTAAACGAGCGAATCCACGGTTATTAACAAACTCAGATGCTTCCAATAGTCTTTACCGTAGCTCAGCTACATTTTGAATCGGCTTGAAATACACTTTTTCTTTTACAGTTCCCCAGTAAAAAAATCTAAAGGATTCAAATCAGGTCATCGGGCTGGCCACGGTATTGTACCAGACCGCCTTATCCATCTGCCTGGAAAGTTTTGATCGAGATACTCTCTCACTGAGAGTGCATAGTGCGCTGGGCAGCCATCATGCTGAAATCACATGACCCTGTAAATACTCAGTGGCACGTCCTCCAATAAATGTTGTACATGATTTTTCAAAAAATCCAAATAAACTTCAGCAGTCAAAGTCTCTGGGAACTCAAACGGACCGATTATTTTACCATTTAAAATTCCTGTCCAATGGTTTATCTTGAAGCGGTATTGAGATTTATCTTCTCTCATCAAATGTGGGTTTGCTATGTGCCACTCGTGTAAGTTATGCAGGTTCATGTATCCATCTTTCTTAAATGTGGTCTCATCCGACCATAAAACTTTTTCAAAGAACTGTGGATCTTTCCTGTGTCTTTCTAACATTGTGCGACAAAAAGCAACTCGGGGCTCATAACCCCGGGGCAGGAGAGGTTGAACACGCTGTATGTGGTATGGATGAAGCACATCACTTACTTGCCATTGCACACTTTGATACCGATCAGTACTCCTTCGTTTACTGCGCATCTTTACATGTTCGTGCTTGTTGATTTCGTACTGTTGCTAAATTTGGATTCGTGAACTGGACTGTTGATCGCTTGTGATTTGGATTTGGACTGTTTAATTGCTCTTCAAAACAACATTTGCTTTCCTTAGACTATCTTTGATAGTGTAATTGTGCAGTGCCGCTATGTCCGTGTACACCGTACAAGAATATGCTAACTTGCACCTCATTTATGGGGAATGCAGATGCAACGCTAGTGCTGCAGCGAGACTTTACTGTGAGAGGTACCCGAATGCAGCTCGTCATCCAGATCATCGAGTGTTCACAAATGTGCACCGCTTACTGTTCTCAGAGGGCCAACTACCAAACCAATCACACGGTGAGGGAAGATCTTTCCTTCCTTACGAAGACGTGGTGCTAGGAGCTGTCGAAGAAGACCCGAATACTTCAGTGCGTGCAATAGAACTAAAAACAGGTTTGCCCAAAAGTACATCCCATAGAATTTTGCAAAAAAAACGTGCTCCATCCATACCACGTACAGCGTGTTCAAGCTCTTCTGCCCCGGGATTATGAGCCCCGAGTTGCTTTTTGTCGCACAATGTTAGAAAGACACAGGGAAGATCCACGGTTCTTTGAAAAAATTGTATGGTCAGATGAGACCACATTTAAGAAAGATGGGTACATAAACCTGCATAACTTACACGAGTGGCACGTAGCAAACCCACATTTGACGAGAGAAGATACATCTCAATATCGCTTCAAGATAAACCATTGGACAGGAATTTTGAATGGTAAAATAATCGGTCCGTTTGAGTTCCCAGAGACTTTGACTGCTGAGGTTTATTTAGGTTTTTTGCAAAATCATTTAGAAAATTTATTGGAGGACGTGCCACTGAGTATTTACAGGGACATGTGGTTTCAGCATGATGGCTGCCCAGCGCACTATGCAATCTCAGTGAGGGAGTATCTCGATCAAAACTGTCCAGGCAGATGGATAGGGCGGTCTGGTACAATACCGTGGCCAGCCCGGTCACCTGATTTGAATCCGTTAGATTTTTTTTACTGGGGAACTGTAAAAGAAAAGGTGTATTTCAAGCCGATTCAAAATGTAGCTGAGCTACGGCAAAGACTATTGGAAGCAGCTGAGTTTGTTAATAATTCGCTCGTTTAATAACCCGATCTTTTTTAAGAAGATGTCGAGCGTGTATTGCGGCTGAAGGAAAACAGTTTGAGCATTTGCTGTAAAAGTAAATCATCATGAGCAGCATTTTGACGCCCACTGTTGTGCAAACAGTTATCCTTAAGGGTCCTTGTGCGTTTTCATAATCGCTGTTTAATTAGGAAATTTTGAAAAATTTTCATCAGTTTTTCTTCCAATAAAAATTGTGCATAAGTTAACGAGTAATCTTCTAAGTGTTATACCATTTTGGAATCCTTATTAAATGCGCCAACTTTTAAGGTTACTCGCCAAACTCTCGTAGTACATTTTTTCCAGTACAGCCAGTTAAAGTTGAGCAAAGTTTTACTTTGGAATACTTGGTTGGGAAATAAGTGGCAATTTTTCCTGAACGAGAAAAGTTGGTAGTAAGGTTGAGACACCAGTTTGAAGATACATTATTCATCATTACATGTTAAAAATAAAATCCAAAAAAAGTTAATATTTGTAGTAACAGGAGTTGACAGACTGCCGTAGGGTGTGAAATTTCTATATTTTTTTCAAAGACCTATAATTTTCAAAACACATACATAAAATTTTTTTAAATATTTTTCTGATAGCTGTTATGACTATGCCTATCACCCGGTTTCAGTTTGACGTCGACTTCTGGAACACCCTGTATATTCATGTTCCTTTAGTACGTGCTTTGAACTAGTTTTTCACTTTGCGAAAATATCTCACGACCTGGAGGAGCTCGTGTGAGTGTCGTCACCTGTTAACAGTGTCTCATTTTACAGGTCTGACTTGTGACTTTGCATGTAAACATGCTTTTGCAGATAGGTTTTTGCTTCTCTCCTTCGAACATTGACCACAACAGCATAGAAAAGGAGAAGTAGATGAAGAAATATTTTTCATTGACAGATGACAGCACGAGACACGAAATAACGGATGTTTTACGTTATTTGGGGCAAATTTACGATGAACCAGGGCAGAGTGTTTGAAACACGAAAACCGCACCAGTGTTATCAAAACAACAAGCCATGCAATAATTGAATTATTATTTTATGTAAATTATCAAAATGGGTTATAATATTGGGACAAACCCATTTTGAGCATTAATCCATTTATTAATATTTTGAATGCAAGTAAAAGCTCATATCGCTCCAGGGCAGGGTGGCAAATAACAATTTAATAGTGCGTCGATAAATTGAACAAATACAGGATATTTAGAAATGCATATAGAGGAATTTCCAAGCAAATGCAAAATGATATAAACTGCTCACTCCGAAATTAAAAACATGTTTTACAATTAATTCAGATGCCTTTTACCTCGCAAGCCACCGGCGAGGAGGTATTGTATTCGAAGATGAGATATTATGTTTTGAGTCTGTCTATCTATCAGTCCGCTTAGCCTTGGCCCATCTATAACTAAGGTTAATACTATGCCAAGCAAACCTTTGTAGTTCTTGGAATATCGTTCCAGTAGCAGCGGAGCTAAACGCAAAAAAACACAAAAATAAAAATCTTCGTTCTTCGACGTATCAGAGATATCTCTCATTTTTTTGTGATAGCATATTCAAAAAACTTCTAAGGCAAGTCAGATGAATTTGCATCTAAGACTTGCAATGACACAAATATGTTTATTTAAAGTTGTACTCTAGCCGCTGCCGATGTATCTCGTGCGACAATAAACGCAATGAATTATTTACCTGAACAGCTGAGAAGAGGTCATCAATGACGCGCGGCGACGTAACATTTTCGAATGCAAGAGTAATATGATTCACTGGATATAAACAATCAGGTTACAAAATTAGGGCTATAGCTAATCAGGTATAAAACAATGAATAGATGTTCACTAGTCTTCTGCGAATATAGAGATATTTGGAAGAACTAAAAATATTAAATGACCAGTTGTAAAGTTTTCCATAACCTGCCAATAGTAAAGGTATCAGAATGTATGGAACCATAATTCCATGCTTTTATTGTTTTTCCAAATCAACAATCACGTGTACCATACGCTGAAAATGACATAAGGCCTCCACGCCTCTAGCTAAAATTTGTGCTAGAATAAATATATCAAGCAATCACTTTAGGTGCGAAGTGTAGTGGCTTCCTGCGTTTTGTAGACGGCAGTTGTAGCACATTGAATAATGAGTTTCTCAGTAACCCATGCCCGATTATCTAATTTCCGTTTATCCACACACAACTACACCTATATCGTACTGATGATTGCTAAAAAGCATGAAACAACGTTGTATGTGGTTGGTCATCGTTACAGAGACGGAAAGCGAACAGATTGAGTTATGGTGTGAAAAGGTATCTAGCATCTACTTACCGTAGCTCTTGATCTTCATCTTCTAACAGGTCTGTAAGCGAAAACTGGACAATAGATTCTCCTAACTGCTTATGTAGAATACTGGTCAGTATAGCTTTCAGTTGCTTCCAAATGGCATTTCCTATAATATCGTCTGCAAGAAGAAAAATATTTAGCATTGAGTTACTAATATTCAGAGAAATGTTTACCTTCCTTCGCTCTAACTACATTATTTTCAATCTCAGTCTGGTTATTAATATAGTACTTAACCTGAAAAATACAAAATGCAAGGATAAACCAGGTGATTCAAAACTTTTCTGGATTCAACGTAAAAAAAAATGTTGGTATCTGAAAATACGTTTTCACTTCTACGTAATCAACACATTTTCACCAACGATTATATATGAGCCCCTTCCCACTTCAGTTGGCCCACTTCAAGATTTGTACCAAAATGTGCCTTTATAAACTAAACATGACGAAACTATTTACTTCTAATAATAATAAGTTTATTGCAAAAGAAAAAGTATAGCAGTAGTAGATGAAAGACAATATTGTACAATAAACGAATGGACCCAAAAAAGTTTCGCAGAAACTTGTGCTTGGGCATGAGCTCATGTATAAATAACTTAAGACTAAAAAAAAATACATATATAAAATTTATTAGACAAGTCCTGGTAAAATTTAAAAAAAAAAACACAATCGGGACGGAGACGCAAAATCGGGAGGTAAACGCAATCGGGATAGAGGCAATATTGAAACAAAACAATTTATTTTCTCAAAAACATTTTAGATATACTCTAGTCGTAAAAAATACATATTTGAAATCACTTAGACCTATAACTATGAGAACATCTGAACAAATAAACAATGTGCGCATAAATGCAAAACCAACAATTGAATGATTACCATTGGGCAATATCACCTTTATTTTTTATTACGGTTGAAATTCTTTGGGGCATAGTGTTAACCAAGTTTTGTCAAAAATTTGGTGTAAAACAATCCCATATTTCTTGAAGCTTTTGTCTCAGTTCGGTGATTGTACGAGCAGGATGTTGTCGTACAACTTTTTTCATCTCGGGCCACAAAGTTTCAATAGGTGACAGATCTGGACTGCTAGATACCCATTTCATAAGTGGTACATTATTTTCTTCCATCCATTTTATAGCCTTTTTTGAGGTATGGCACGCTGCACCATCTTGCTGAAACACAAAATCTTGGCCGGATGTCAAACATTCTTCCATCGCTGGTAAAATCGATTCTTATAAAATTGCCAAATATTTGTTTGTATCTACATTTCCATCAATAAAATGAAGTTTTCCTACTCCTTTTGATGACATACTGCCCCAGACCATAATGGATGCTGGAAATTTCACTTTTCTCTTCAGACAGTCAACATGGAATGCTTCATTTTTTTTGCGAATAACTCTACTGCGACTGTCACCATCACAAACTTCGAATCGGGCCTCATCACTCCATTGTATTGCACAACATTGTTGAGGTGTCCATTGTCTATATTCTTTAGCCCATCTAGGTCGATTTTTCTTTTGCAGTGGAGTTAATAGTGGCTTTTCTTTGGCCTATAAACAAGTTGTGCAACTTTAGGCTTTTTACTTCACTTTTTTTTTATAAGAAAACTTACCTTGCAAGTGCTAAATTCCAGTTTGTGGGCCTCTCTATGAGTTGCGGACCTCGAACTTCTCCTTTCAACAGCGTCACTCCACAGAGCACTTACATAGTTGTAAACAATTGGCACGCCTGTTTTTTCGATTATTCTTCTTAATGCTCTTCGGTCGGCATTTGTGATATTACTTTTTTTCACATATCGTGGCTTAATATTAACTGAACTAGTTACGTTATATCTTCTAACAATATTTCTCACACTGTACCGCGATAAGTCTAACAAAGTTGCAATTTCTGAGTTTGATTTCCCAGAATTAAAAAATTTAATTATCAGTAATCGAATTTTCTCACTAATATCCTTTCCTTTACCCATTTTGAAAACCTTAACTACCCAAAACTATTTTAAACGTATTCTGACAGCTGTGATTAATAAAAACAATTGTCATGGCTTTTATTTTTCACAGCCACCTATGCGTTATAGACTTATTTTGCATTGAAATGAAAATAGGTTCATATGCTGTAATTGCAACATGTGTTATTTTTATGCTGCTACACATTATCAAAATATTCATTGTTAATATTTTAAACCTATAACACCCTACTACATTTTTATTATTTGTGTTTGATAAGAAAAAACTAAGATTTGAATAGTTGGGCCAACTGAAGTGGGAAGGGGCTCGTATACCTTTCCTGATGTGATTCTCTTTATAGTTTATTTACCTAAAAACATGGTTTATTTGGGAGTACACGATACATTTTTAGGACGACCGATTTCAACAAAGTGAGGGACCTCAGGAGCAAAATAACTACGGCAACGACTTGCCTCAGGGCCTAAGGTATTCTTGAGTTCGTTATGTCTTATGTCGCAATCACACTTCGGAGCCAACGTGGTATTTTATGATTGGATCGACCAAAGACAGCGAACCATGAACAGCTTTTTCGTGCTTTTTGGCTACTCCTCAGCATGCTCTAGGCTTGAGTCTCTCGCAAAACGAACGAAAGCATAGCAACTATACTAAGTGACATATAAATCCGAACACCCAGTTTAAATGGTTTTATTTTAATAAAATTTTGTATAAGTACTTAATGAAGCATAATAAGTAAATGATAAAAATTTCAAAATGATAGCACTGCTTTAAAGCCCTTTGACCTTTAATAATGTGTGGATGCGCCCTGATGTGCTACGCATTCTCCAACGCGCCTAGGCATGCTTCTGATCAGGTGGTCAATGTCCTCCTGTGGTATCTCATTCCAGGCAACCACCAACTCCTCTCGAAGAGGAGGACGTTGCAAATTGAGCAATCTCCTACCCATCATATCCCACACGTGCTCAATTGGGGATAAGTCGGGAGATCTTGGTGGCCATGGTAACAATGTGACATCATTATGTTGAAAGAAGTCTATTGTGACTCTTGCAACATGTGGTCGGGCATTATCTTGTTGGAAAGTTGGATCTGCCATGGTGTCAAGATAGGGTAAAAGATGGGGTTCTAGAACTTCGTGGATATAACGCTGCGCGTTCATGTTACCTCTGATGAAGATTAAAGGTGACCTGGAACCATAAGCTATAGCACCCCAAACCAGAACTCCAACAGTGTGATGAACATGTCTTTCAACAAAAAACTGTGGATTCCTCCTTCCACCACGTCGCCTTCTAACCCTGGCACGACCATCGTGCATGCCTAAACAAAATCGAGACTCGTCACTAAAGACAATACTGTTTCATTCCTGATCCCAGAGTGACCGTTGTCTGCACCACTCAAGGCGATTACGTCGGTGTTCTCGAGTTAAAGGGAGTACCCAGTGTGGCCAGTATGAAATCAAGCCAAAACGTCTCATTCGTCGGTAAACACTTCGCATGCCAATAGGTCTTCCGTGTTCTGCAAACCATTCATTTGCAATGGACCTGGTAGAAGAGAAACGGTCCCTTAAGGCCAATAATCTTAGGCGGCGATCTTCACGGTCTGTTGTTCTACGGCGGCGTCCAGTGCCCCTAGCTCTTTGCGTACGGCCTTCTCGAAGCCATGCCTGACAACACCTAACCACAGCGTCTACACTTCTTTGCATTCTAACTGCAATTGCCCGAAAAGAAAGTCCAGCTTCCCGAAGTCCCACTGTACGGCTCCTATCAAACTTACTAAGTTGACGAAGTCGTACAGGTCTCCGTACTCTAGGCATCGTAACCGATCGTAAAGGATGTCAAGAACCAAAATCCGCCAACGTTGATTTTTTACTGCGGCTGAAATATTCATTTTTAGAGCGTTAGTGAATTAAAAAAAAGCAGTATAAAAACCGGAATGTCCAACTGATAAGGCTGAAATTTTTTTTCACTTGTTAATTACATTAAGATAAATACATTCACCAACTTTTATTAAAATAAAACTTTTTAAACTGGGTGTTCGGATTTATATGTCACTTAGTATATACACTATACAAAGTATATCTATCGAAATAAGATATCGCAATTCACTGTCTCGTAGTGGTCGATTATAGAGATAGATGGCGCTTCGCACTGACTTATTTCGATATACCACACACTTTGTATCGCTTGTCCTCTAATTTTTCTTGAACAATGCCAAAACAATTGTAAATAATATTTTTTGTGTCTAGAACCAGGGCAATCCGTGCCGAATTTCGTTGAAACATGTCAAAACTTGTATGTTAAACGCGCGCTCGCTAACGTATTGCAGTGCTCGTTTGTTTTATTAGAAAACGCACTGTTATCGTTCAGTCAACATATCGAAGGGACGTAAAGCATAAAATTTCCGGTTCAAAACTTAGAAATAATACCCGGGAAGTGAAATTAAGTGTCAATCTGTTTGATATTGCACATGCCGATGCCCTTCAATTGATGAAAATAAATGAAGATAGGATCTTCTTGCAGTGGCAGAGAGAACCAGGTCGACCTGGCCATTTAGCTGGGGTGGACAAGAAATTAGCCATAAAAAAAGAAAACAACGCGTCTTAGAAACAAGGAGCTTGGACCTTATGACTAGAACTTACACTTATTGAAGTTTCAGTAGACTCATATTCAATATCGTAGTTCTCAGGTACAAACGAGTCACCTTCTATTAATAGTCCTACTTTTCCTCTGGTGACTACATCTCTGAAGGTTGTCCTGAAAATTTTGAAATGTATGCATTTATTTTATAAGAATTTTGAAAATGTATTTTTTGTCTGCTGACTTACAAATATAGGGTATTATTTGATGATGGGCCATAATTACAAGGGCGTATCCCTAAGCCAAATTTATGTAGAAAAGCTCATATTGTTTTAAAAAAAATGGGTTTTTATTAATATCTCAAAGATTTGTGCCAGTTTTTTAGAAATTTCGCAGTGTTGTTAATTTCAGTTAGGCTCTGAATCAGTACCGATTGAAAGGTATTTATGAATTTCAGTGGCGTCTCGGGTAATAATCTCACAAGTTATGTTGACGAAGAAGATGCACGCCGTTGACGTTATCAAAAAATTATATTTTAAGCAGGTAGAGATACAACTTTTTTGTCTACCTCTTTGTATTCCACTTTGCTTTCGAGGAGAAAATAAAATCAACTTCATGACATACTTCAAAAATTGGACGGTGCACGATATTTATAAGCCGTCTTTGAACTGTAATATAGAAAAAGTAACGAAAATTTGACAACGTATTCACAAACAATAAAGAAAATATATGCTTCTTTATAAAGTTCTGTTAATATTATTCAAGAGACTGCCCCCCGAGACGCCAATGGAATTCCTAATTATCTTCTAGTCATTTCTAATTTAGCGTCTTGCAATGGACAACACTGCCAAACTTCAACAAAATCGGCTTAAGGGTCTTTGAGATATAAATAAAATACCATTTTTTCAAACTTCGACAACCTGTATCTTAAAAACAAGACTTTTTCATATGAACTTTGACACCCAAATTTGATCCAGCAATGCGCACTTGAAATTACGTTAAGTAACACTTTGTACACCATTTTGTGACTGTTTTTAAAAATGCACTGAAAGCCACCTATATTTTTTTATCACTTGAAAACCTCCCACCACGGATTTATCTAAAACCGCTAATTGAAAGAAAAAACGCCGACACGTCAAAAGATTTATTAAGGGGAACAACTTTTTAACCAAAAACTACTTCACCCCTTTCACCCCTGGCCTTCCAGGGTCATTGCCATACAAATTTTAAATGACAAGGGGTATAGAGTAATAGCTTGTTTGAAAGGAATTTCGAAGACCTTTATTTCAACGTTTGATTTTTTAAAATCGGAGAATTCGTTTTCAAAAAAAAAATAGGAAAATCTTTATTTATCTTAATTTGTTGAGAGAAAACAAAAATACACGGAAATATCACTTTTCATTTCAATGGGTGTTCAAAATGTTGCGCGTTATTGGCCAAACCATGATATAGGCGATGTTCAAATTCCTGGCGGACATTTTTAAAAACATGTTGTGGGATATCATCCGATGATGCGTTGACGAAGTTTATCCAAACTTTAAGGTTGGGGGAGTAATAAACACAATAGATTCCAAATGGCCGCATAGAAAAAAGTCTAATGGCGTCAAATCAGGAGATCTAGCAGGCCATTCTATAGGCCCTCTTCACCCTATCCATTTATCTGGAAACTTTGCCGAACCGGAATAACATAGTGAGGAGGAGCGCCGTCTTGCTGGAAATGAATTTCAGCCTCATCAAGTATAGGGTTTCCATCCTCTTTGATTTAGTTTACAATGGTTTCAGTGGCGGATTGATTATATTTTTCAACACATCCAAATAAATGTCTCCATTAAATTTTCCATTAATGCCTGCCAATGCATTAATTTTTTGGTGGTACTGGGTATGCCTTTCTACAAAAGCATGAGGATTTTCATTGCTCCAATACGTGCAGTTAACCTTATTTGGAAATCCATTTAGATAGATACATGTTCAAAAAACTCAACTTGCCTATCGAAATCATCTTCGGTTAACTCTTGCAATATTTTCATTTTGAACGGATGAAATTTATGGAGTTTAGTGACTGTGTGTACAAAGCCTAATGAAATACCAGTCGCAGCAACAATTTTGCTTAATGAAGTATTAGGATTTATTCCAGAATGACCCAAAGCTTCAACTTGAGCGGCTTCATCCGATACTCTCCGATGATCACGTTTTTTATTTGCAACAGATTCAGTTTGAGTAAATTTAGTAACAAGTTCCAAGATATACCAATGCGAAGTTGTCAGTTTGCCGATCACATTAAATAAATTAGAATCATTTCCACTCTTTCGGCTAATGTGTGAACCGTTTTGGAAGTAGAATCTGAATCAATAAACTGATTTTCACTATCCTAAGTTTGTCACAAAGGTAATTGACAGCAAATTAAATTATTTCTTTCCCTCAGCAACGAATAACTAAACAGGTATAACAATAAACACAGTTCGCCCAGGATATCTGTGTTGATGAAAAGAATGCGGAATAAATTCGGATTGTTATTTCGTTGTTGCCACGTCTAATTTTCCGAATTGCTGCTTATGTTGTTAGTCTCCGTTTCAAATTATAAACGAATTGCACATTTGGCAAACCCTAACCCATATGTGGCGCCCGATTTCTACAATAAAGTACCTCAAGCTTTGAAAACTCTATCTGTGTCCAGCTTTAAAAGAAAAGTTAGGCTCTTTGTCTTTGATGACATGTAGCATGTATTTTTATGTAATTTTTTTTATATTTGTTTATTTGTGCATGTTTTCTCACTTGTCACTTTTCATTTGTTTGTGTTTTGTTTACGAATTTGTTACTGTTTACTTTTAATTTTTATATCATCCGCCATATACCTAATATTTTCTTTTTTTAAAGTTACTTCTAAGCATGCTTTTTGATTCTGCTACGTACTCTGTTGATGCACGTTTCTCTTTTGGTCTTTTGGTCATTATACCATGCATATGCTAGGATTCTGTAAAAAAAAATTTTTTCTGCTTTAAATTTTCTTATTATCTTCAGTGTATTTTTTTGTATTTGCATGTACTTGAATTTCTTTTTAGCCCTGGTTGGTTCTGAAAAACAGCTTGTGCTGATGTAACCCGCCAGGTAAAATAAAGGCCATTTATTATTATTATTATTATTACTAACGGGCAATATTTTGAACACTTATTGAAATAAGAAGTGATATTTTCGTGTGTTTTTGTTTTCTCTCTGAACAAATTAAGATAGATAAAGATTTTTGAAATTTTCTCGAAAATGAATCGATTGATTTTACAAAATCAAATGTTAAAATAAAGGACTTTGAAAGGTCTTTCAAACAAGCTATTACTAGATACCTCTTGTCATTTAAAATTTGTAAGGAACGACCTTGGGGGCCGAGGGTGAAAGGGGGTGAAGCAGATTTTGGTTAAAAAGTTGTCCCCCTTGACTAATCTTTTGACGTATCTCGGCGTTTTTTAATCAGCGGTTTTCGATAAATTCGTGGTGGGAAGTGTTCAACTGAATACCTTATATACAGGGTGGCCCATCCATGTGAGGACGAAATATTATTCATAAACAAATGCATTGTGTGAAAATCTATTCATGAGATGTTATACATGACATTTGAGGGCACATTTCGAAAATATTGGAAATTATACAGGGTGTCCCAATTTTGTCCTTCATATCAAAGTTGTGATTTTTTAAATGGAATGCCTCAAATTTTATTGCATATTTGGATAAACCAATTCAGAAGATGAAGATTGATATAACATACTATGGGGTTTTGGTAATTAGCTACTGAGATGTAAGGTGTTTTGTCCAGAAAAACCGTCCACTTCGGCAAGCCCGCCATTTTGAAATTTGGAGTGCTGGATTTTGTATCGAAAAAAAACTGCACAACTCAGCTTTTATCTTATTTGTTACTTTTTCGAGTTCTCATTTTTGCTCATACAGGGTGGTCAAAAACGCGAACTGCACTTTTTCTCAAATTTAAAATGCATCACCCTGTATATTTGTGCAAGTTTTAATTCAATTTTTTGGTGTAAGGTTTGATTCAAAATTAAGGAAAAAATCACATCATCCATGGAAACAAAAGACAAACCGAAGGCTAGTTCCATATTGCCACTAAGAGTACAGATTTGACGTAAATACTAATAACAATCAGAACAGTATAAATCAGCTTCAAGCGTAATAGAGAAAAACAACTACAACAACATAAACAAACAACTATCACTACTCAAGACCTAATCTACAAAAACTGCTCGAAAATATCTCCACCATGTTGAATACACAGCCGTAGTCTTTAAATAAATGACCGTTGCACATCCCTCAGCATGTGTTTCTTTATGTTCAGAAAAGCATTCTTAAAAGATTCCTTCATATTTTCCGAGGTAGATTGTGGATATCTATAAACCTCTTGTTTAACGTAGCCCCATAGAAAGAAGTCCATCGGTGTCGTATCTAGTGAGCTAGGAGGCCAAGATATGGGCCCATTACAGCCGATCCAACCATTGTTACTCGAAGTGTCCAAATAGCTACGCACACGATTATGATAATGCGCAGGTGGAAATCTATTTGCCTGACCTAGTAAGGGTTTTCCGCCGTATAATAGTGCATGTTATGCCTGTTGACAACACCTATGCTGTTAAAAAGAAGCCTCATCGCTAAAAAGAACCTTACCCAGGAAAGTAGTGTCTTCACTCACTTTATTTAGCATTATTCTACTAGACTCCCTTCAAGCTCTCAAATCCTGAGGACGAAGGCCCTGATGCAAGTAGGTGATATGGATGGTACCTATGCTTATGCATAATCCTTTGGACAGAAGTTCAGCATATATATATATCGGTTTCTGCTCCAGTTTGCCGTGCACTTAAATGGGGATTTTCCTGTAACTTTAATAGAACCTTCAACTGATTCGGCTCATTGGTGACACTTGGATTATTTATACATTTTTTACTATATTCCACTGCTCCACTTGATTCGAAACGTTCTCGTAGTGTGGAAAATATATCCGGCTTTGGATGTCGCATATTAGGGTACCGTTGCTTATAAATGCGAGGTGCTAGGAACCTATTTCTTTGGGCTTCGCCCAAAATGAACACCATATTCACAATTTCTTCTTTAGAAAAATTCATTTTCAAACACGTTTTTATTATAATACTCACTAAGCTAATTTTGACAGTTTGTAACTAATCAAC